TCTAATATCTTATAATCTAAAAATATTGGGCCAATAGAAATACCAAATATATCTGAGGAAATTCTGGAACAATTTAGAAGAACTGTTTCATGAAAGCTACTGCTAGAAGTGGAGGCACAGCTTCTATAATCATAACGAATCTCAACCAACACATGAGAGTATCTGTTATTAAGAATTGGCAATGCATATGATACACATATAACGTTAAAAAACTGGGCTATGCTGGGTACAAGAAATTAGGTATGGCATTAGTATGGTCTTGGTTTAACCAAGTTTGGGAGTAATAATGAGGTTACGAGGCCCTCCCTTTGAGGGAGTACCAACTTTGGAAGTTGTATGTAATAAGTATGAAAGAAGCAAAGAATATAGAATGTAGTAATGAATATAAATTAGAATATAGTAGCCAAATCCAGGTTGTATATGATGTGAAACATAGAATACTCTGGTAGGTTTAGGTCACAGATAGTAGTCAAGACCTGTCTGAGTTATTTATGTACTTGTAAAAATAGATATGCATATATCATATAATATATATATATATATTATAACAATAAAAGTCATAGAGCAAGACCTCACCTTAATACTAAAAAAAAAAAAAAGATTGCTAAATATAAAAAAAAATATATTTTAATTATTTAAAGGCAAAAATAAAATAGCAATCTGTTGCAATATAACCTCTATATAATCAACTAATCAAATTTAAGATTAGCAATCATATAAAATCAATTGTATCCTTTTTTTTTTGTGTTGCTTTTGCTTTTTTGCTTGCTTGTTTTCTTTTGCTGCTTGCATTCTTTTGCTTGCTTTATTGTTTGATTCACTTTTTTTTTTTTTTAGATTTTCTTCCTTTTAGGTTGTAGTTGGAGTTGTTGTAGGTGTCAATTTTATGTTATGTAAAGTCATCGTAAGTTCAGTTTCTATTATAGATAGGTGTTGCATTGACTTATAGTAGATTTCATTGTTTGATTCTTGTAGCATTGCTAGTGTTAATGTCTAATTTTCCACTTTCTTTTTAGGTTTTTGGTGTTAGTTTCATGCTATTTTGCCATTCTAGGTGGTGTTGTTATTTTTTGAAGTAGCTTTATTTTGGATTTCATTATTTTTTATTTTTTTTAATAACTTTTTTTTTTTTCTTCTTGCATTGAAGTTGTCAGTACCATTCTATCATGATTTGGATATTTTTTTATTGCTTTGGGTGTATTTTTGTCATTTGGTATATTATTGCTTTGGGTATGTTTTTGTTAATTTGTTTTAGTTTTCTTATTAGTTTCTTTTTTTGTTTCTAATATTTTCTTTTTCTACAGATCTAGGTATAGTTTTGTTGTTGGTGTCATTTTGAATATAATTCCATTGTAGTTTTGATATGCTTAATCTTGATTTTTATTTATTTTTTTCTTCTTCCTTGAACTAATACTTTCTTTTATAGATTTTGCTAAAAAAACCAGATAGTGGAACCGCCATTTTGGATGTTATCATTGGTGCTGTTTTGAATATAATTCCTTATAGTTAGGTATGCTTAATCTGTTTTTGTCATTTTGGTGTCATTAGTAATTTCAAGCTTTTGCTGCTTGGGTAACATTGTTTAGACTTTTGCTATTTTGATGTTTTGTATTTCTTTGAAGATAAGTATAGCTGTTTTTTTTTGTGATTTTCTGGTTTTTTTTTTCTTCTTCTTTTATCTTCTTTTTTTTTTTATAGGTTTAGTTTTATTAAGATATTGGATATGTTGCTTTGGGTATTATTGTTGTTGGAGCCTTCATGAGTATAATTTTGCTACTTCAACATAAATATAGTTTTGTAAATATGGTGTTTTGTAAATGTAGTATTTCATAGATATGGCGGTGTTTTGTGGATATAGTTATAGTGTCATGAACAGATATTTTGTAGCTGTAGTTACAGATATTATCATAAATCTAAACCTAGTTTTTTTTTTTTTTCTTTCTTATATAGTCTTAGTCTTAGTCTTCATCACTATAATATAATAATTTAATAATATTAAATTGGGTAGTTAATTTTTAATAAAACATAAACTTTTGTTATTTGTTGTATTCGAGTTTGAAACTGGCTTGACATTGAATCTATTAAGCTAGTTTAGCATTTACATGATCACATACTTAATTTTTATTGGTCAATCACAGGTTGCCATAGAAACAAGTCGCTAAAAAACAATGCCCTTATTTAAAAATAAAAAAAATATCATTGTTGTCAACTTTTTTTTAGTTTTTATTACTTAATATTTAGAATTTGTAGTTTATTATTTTATAAATTGCTAATTTCTCTATATAAACGTTTTAAATAACTTGTTATTTAAAAAGTTGTAAAATTTATAGTGATTTAACTAATATTATTAAAATATAGTATAAAAGCTTCAAGATTGCTTAGTAAATTATTATATTTTATAAAAAAGAAAGACTATACAAGCCTTGTAAAAAAGTACTTTAATTAATAATCTGCCAGTTAACAGAAGAATAAACATAATATAACATAATGTAAATCACTATATAAATCTAATATAGATGAATTTGAAAAATTAGATTTATATAGTGATTTGTGTTATATTACACTATGTTTATTTTTCTTTTAACTAGCAGATTATTAATTAAAATATATAAATTATAATTATTATAAATTGTATAATATGTTACTATTTTTAGATATATTTTTTTCTGTTATTATACCCTTGTTTATAAAAACTAGAGAGTTTAAATAGATAATCTTCTAGTTAAATTGCAGAAATAGTGGCTAGTATAAAATCCTGAATAGACTACTTAAAATAAATAACTAAAAGTTGTATATATAGCTAGTTGTACTTTTATTGTAACTGAAATTTAACTTCTAATAAAAAGTTATGACCAAAGAGGTTATCTTAATACTAAAAAAAAAAAAATTAATTCTATTAATTGTTTTATATAATTTATAGCTTTGGCAAAGCTATATTTTTTTAAAGTCTTTGCAATTATTTTTTTTTGTTTTTTTTTTTTTTAATATTAAAAGTGAGACCAATTATTTTTATTAAAACTTTGTTTATATAATTTTTTTACTACTACTATATTGGTGTGTAATAATATGTATTTGTATATTATTTTGAGACTATGTGTTATTTTAGAATATGCATATATAGTAATCAGATTATTTTAACAAATTTAAATTATAATAGTATAACATAAAAACCCTTGAAGTATTAACTATGTCACTTAATATACAGAGGGTAAGAAATGTGCATAGACAAAGATAAAACAAAAGACAAAACTATAACAAAAGATAAGATAAAACAGAAAGAAATACCCAAGAAAGAAAATAAATACAAGACAAAAACAAGACAAAAATGCAATAGAAAAAGCCTTTACAATGTAGTGGGTAAAGGGTCAAGGGTATATACAATGTAGTGGGTATATAGCTAAAAAGAAGTATCAGTTTATTAGGTATAAAGATAAAGAAATAAGAGACAGAACCTAATCTGCCTTAGGGAAAAGGCAGGGTTTATATAGCTTTAGAATTATTAAAAAAATATTACTATTACATTGGTAAAACATATCAAGGTACTATACTAAAGTACTATACTAAGGTATTATAATAAATATATATCTAAATTCAAAATGGTGAAAAATTTACTATGAAAACTAATAGTATAGATTTGAACCATGTGATCTATACTAGACTATAAATAGTAATTTGTATAACTAATCTAATAAAAATACACTAATATAACACTATTCTTTTCTTTGAAAATTTTACTCTGTAAAATTTAAGAAGTAAATAGTTTACAAATAAGAAATAATAAATAAATATTTAATAATAATAAGTAATGAAATAATATATAAAATAAATAATAAGATAATTATCAAATATAAAATATAAAATATAAAATGTAAATATAAAATATAAACATTTACCATTATAGTCTGGTAATGTCACCATAGTGCACTGGGTATGACATACTACCAGTGGAGTCGAACTCATGACCTGTGAAACCATTCGCTCTAACCACTAGACTACAGGATAGGGTGTACATAAAAATTATTTTTTTGTACTTCTTTTGAATCTTAATTTTTATCTATTTAGTCCAATAAAATTGTTTGATTTGGCTATGTGTTTGATAATCTTCAAATTAAAAAATAGGCTGTATATCACACTGAATACACTTTTGCTTTCACCCATAAATTTTCTTCTTGTTGTAATTATGACTAAACACAATTATCATCGAGATCATTTAAAATGCAGTTTTTATCACCATAGTTGTAATAATAATAATAATGATAATAATATTAATAATGATAATAATAATAATAATAGTAATAATAATAATAGTAATAATAATAGTAATGAAGAATCTTCGTAAGTGTATAATAAAAAGGACAGAAAAAAAAAGAAAGCAAAGAAAAAACTATACTAATAATAATGTTTATATAGCTCCTGTGAACATTGATTACAACACCAAGTCACTAATTTGTATTCTGTTATTGATAAAATGCAGCTTACAGCTGTTGAGTCACTTCAACGTATCTTTTTCTGGGATTAAGAATATGAGTATTTGGTTGAAAAGTACAATAGATATGTATGTGGTTTAAAATAGTGATATTGCCTTAAGTGAGTTGCACTGTAATGCAATAGTAGAACAAGAAAGAAGAAGAAGAGAAGATAAAAGAGAAGGAAGTGCCAGAAAAAGAAGAAGAACAGAAGAAGAAGAAAGAAGAGGAGAGAAAGAAGATAGAAACCAAGAAGAAAAAAGAAGGAAGTAAAGAGAGTTTATGTTTTGTTTTAGAGTAGCAGTAATTTTTGTAGTCTTTCTTTATTTTTTAATAAAATTATTGTATTAACTCTACAAATTGGTTAGGTGATAATCTTTCTATATTAGAAGCATAAGTATCTACTAAATCATATAAGTTTTTCAAGCCGTGTTTTTGGTATAGACTGTAAACTCAATTGGCTTGAGTTTTTAATCTTGAGACTCTGATTTATTCAAATTTTTCTTTAAGTATTAAATTGAATTCCTCCAGTATTTAGAAATTTTGTTTGTTTTTATCTAGTAATTTTTCTAGGTAATATGCAGCTTCTAAACAAGGGATTCTATCTTTTTCTTTGTTACCAAGCTTGGAAATTCTCTTAATAACATCTTTGAAAACTTGAATATTATCTTTATTAGCTATGAATAGTAAAATAAATGTTCTCTTACATAAGTTAACACTCAAATCTCTTTTAATTCTAGCCAATGCTAAATTATCTTCTATAGGTAAAGTTATAGCCTCGTCAATAGGTAGATTTACTTCTTTTATTTCATTTTCATTATGTTCTAGCCCTAAAGATTGTTCTACTATTACTCTAGCTTTGGATTCATTGATTATTAATGTATTCCAGGCTTCCTGATAACAAAGTCGTTAAATAGCGATTCATATATAGCCAGATTAGTTAATGTCTCTTGAAGAAAATTATTAATTGGAGCTTTAATTTGTGTTCCATTATTATCTACTAGAGCAATTATTTCTTGGTTAATCTTTAAACTTTTATCATAGTATAATTTTTGCTTTTATTTACTTAAAAATCATTGTAAACTCTGTAAAGCTTCAACTAAAAATTGATAAAGAAATATAGTATTGAATATTGGTATTTCCATTAAATAAAGAAAAGTAAAAAAAATATAATAATAATTTTTTTTTTTTTTTTTTTTTTTTTTTTTTTAAGATGAGGCCTTGCTCATATCTTTATTAAGTAATTTATATAAGTAATTACATAAAATTTATGAAGAACTTAATTTGTATA